ATCGTGAGGACTAAGTACTACCTTATCCTGCTTGATTGTAAAAACTTCATGTTTCTTTGGCCTAATTATATGTTGATATCTTTTAATTACATCACGTTCGAATAAAGTATTTTTATAATCATCAATACTTATTTGTTTGATACTAGTCGCAGTAGAACCCTTTGATTTTTTTACAACTTTTCTATCGACTGTATAGGCATACATTTTTGCACGAAGACCTACAAACTCTAACATAATTTTACCATGATTTTCGTCTTTCATTAAACCAGGAACTTTCTTATTGACTAACGGAATCCCAAAGAGATTAGAAGGACTATAGTCGGAAGTATCGAATTTAGCAATATCTTCCTTGATACACTCATATATATCGGGAACAGTAAAAGCATATATGAGACTGTCAGTATCAGTGTATAGTAGCTTGACGTTATTGTGAAATGTAGGCAAGGTGTAACCATAATGAAAATCATATAAAAAAGTTTTCGAAACATCTAAGACGGCAAATCCTGCATATATAGGTTTATTTAAGAATACCTCTAACTTATTCATTTCAATAATAATCATATCATTATCGAATATTTCACAACTATGAAAATTTGGTTTTGATATGTAAGCACGACCCCCATATTGCCCCTCCCATTTTGTTACTAAGCGTACGTCCTTGTACTTCCGAACATTTTCCATTAACTTTCCGTAAACACTGTTAACCATCGTTTTATAAAAAGTTTTATCAAACTCATTTTGAGATTGCTGACGCATGGCTGTATTTAATTCAATGTATTGTTTTAACCACGGCGACTGTTTAAAACGTAGGATACGATTTACTTTAACCAATTTCAATCCGTACTTTAAATACATTTTCAGATTTCTATAATGAATTACATAATTGTGTTTTGGGTACAGCGTAAGTAATAATTTCTTAAGTTTTGATGCTGAAATAGGTGGAATCATGTGCTCTGGTGCTAACGGAAGATCACTATGGCTCTCGTGAAATTCTATGGGATAGTCCAAGTCGCAATCTAAGATATAACCAATTTCTGAATCATCTGGATGGTTTATAATATACAAATCTTTAAATTTTGACTCATCTATAAAACAAAATTCAGCATATGGTAAACACTCGGACATAGCTGCCCCATATAAATTGTTTACATCGTAATACATTAAATATACAGTTTCAGAATTAGGATCATACTTATCCCCCATATATTTATTGTTAGCTTTTGCATATCGATTAGAACATTGGGACACTCCACCCCTAATTCCTCTTTCAATAAATATTATCATATCAATGTCTGTTAATAACTCCAATTTCACTTTTGTAATTTTAAGCATTGCGTCAAATGCTAATCCTGGGGCTGTACAATAATGAAGAGGATCAAGTTTGTATGTATTTAAACATGTTTGACGAAAATTTTCAAAAATGTCTGCTAAAAGCAGAACGTCGGTTTTTAAATATAAGTCTGCATATTCCCCCAACGTTTCAATTTTACATTTGTTCCAAACATTGATAGCATGCTCATAATCATCATCACTAATAGCATCATCACGAAGGTGACTGTAAAATTCTTGTTTTTGAGGTAAAGTGACCTCATTTAGTTTATCCCAATTATCAATGTATTCGTAGGGAAAAACACCTTTGCGTGTTAATAAAGAAAATTCCTCGTGATTTTTACAATTAGCTTTGGTAATAACTTTTTTATCGTCTGCCAAAAAATTCGATAACTTATCAATACTACTACTCATAAATCTAAATGAGTCAATAAATCTAAAACTAATTACAGTACCCTCTATTGCTTTAGTGAACGAAATGTATTTTTCTTTGTTAACGGGCAGCAGCGATATGCGTCCCGCAATTCTGGTAGCCAATTCTCTAATAATGAAATGTGAATCGTAACCTGATAAATTGTGAAAAACAACTGGAAGTACGTGCGAGTCCTTATAGTTTAAATTACAATGAGAATGTGACGCTCCTCGATATTTACCCGTGAAGTGGTTATGATCTCTAACTTTTGTATCGTATTCGGTAAATGGTTTTAAGCAAATGTGACAAACTATTGCATTGTTAAAGTTACGAAGCTGATCATCATTTAAAGTTTGCATTGGAACTACGTTTGCAATGATTCCATTAGCCCAATGGGCAATACTATGAAGTTCTTTAATAAACCAGGAAATACAATCGTCTCCTCTATAAAGACTAAAGCGTGATAATGAGTCGTTGTATGAGCACCTTAAATAATATGCAACACTAAAAGGTATATGCTTCGTTTGAAATAAAGTATTATGGTTCTCGAGACTACTTAAATTTGAGCAAGGTTTTAAAATACTTTCCAAATCGGCATAAATTACGAATGGTACCTTTTCTTGGAAACGGTAGTTTTTAAACTCTAAACAGTTTTCCGTTTTAATAGGTACTCTAACAGCACACTGGTTCAGTTGCTGACAGTAAGTAGTGTGCTTTTGAAGAAGACGATCTGCTGAAAAATAGTTTAGACATCTGTTACAAATAAACTTTCTATGATTCTTGTTAGATAATTGCTTAGAAAAAAGAGCTGACATGTTCTTAATCCATACAAAATGATACACAGTACGCTTTCTCACATTAATAGCTTCGGCAATAGAACCATCTGTTTGAGAATTTGTTGAAAGTACTAAAAGATTTATAGGATCTCTATCGCTCATTTGATTACCACTCAATACAAAGGGTAGTACCGATTTACCTTTAATGCAAAACAAATTGATTGCAAGATTATTTAATTTTTCAAATTTAGTTACGTCATCTAGCCTAATTGGAAAATTAATAGAATCATAATTTAAAACTTCACTAAAATGGGGATAATTGGAAACTCTATCTGTATGATGTTGCACAGGGTATAATGCCGAAACGATCGCCCACAGAAAACAAAATTCATCATTATTTTTAACATTTACTACCGCATGTTTAACTGCTATGAAGTAGGGCACTTTAACGTAAGTTGATATACCACCTTTAAGAGGAATGTAGCTATTAATATTTACCTTTAAATGTAAAACTTCAGACAGCGCCCAACCCGAATCTTTTTCAGAAAACTCCTCTAATTTTTGTTGCAGCTTAAAATAAACGTTCTCTTTATACCACTCGCGCAAGTCAGTTATATTGTTTATGGGATAATTTTTTGTGCCAAATGTTTTCAAATCAACAACATGGTTTTGAGGTTGAATAAAATTGCATGCTAAAACGACATTTACTTTTAGCATTGATTGTTTTAACATTAATGAAATCTTTCGTGCAAAACTACTGTACGCGTTTTTTAAAAAAATTAAAGGGTCCTTAGTATTTCCTATATTTACAATAATTCCTGTAAGCAGCCTGCCATTGAAACATGAATCTAAAGTATACCAACCTAATCTACGTCGCCTTCTGGCAACGGTATTCATTCCATCACCCTTTTTCTCTGAATCCTTCTTTAATTGTTTAAGTCTAACAAAATAGCATTTCAACAATGACAGACTGTTTTCTAATCTATGCAAACTTTCATTTACCTCCAAATGTAGTTTATTTTCAATCATTTTTTGTAACAACTTTATATTAGTCTTAATAATACTAATGTGCCTCACATATTCGTCCCTTGTTTTTAAAAGCGAAAATGCATCCTTTGTTAATTTAACTAAAGCGCTACTGCTGAACATTTCTGAATTAGTAGCATTACTCATAGTTACCTTTCACACACAATATCCAACAGAGGAACTTCAATTAAAGGTGTAACACATGCACATACAATTAACAATACCAGATATGCTATACAATATATGATTTAAATAACTATAGGAGTACTTTAGGATTACGTAAATTATAATTAGTGAATTGTAACTGGTTTCACATTAATCTACGTCCGCTTATATAGCTTCGAAATGACATGCCCCTACTAAAATGAAATATGATACTGGTTCTTGGAAATGAAATTTGAGCCAAAAAACCGAATTGACCTTGAAAATGAAACATGACACCCCAAAAAAAAAGTGACCTTGAAAAGGAAATATGACTGCATCTTGCAAATGCAATATGAGACCAAAAAAATGTATCCTTGAAAATGAAATAAGACTCCAAAGAAAAGTGTGACCTTGAAAATGAAATATGACACTTGGAGATGAAATATGAGCCCGAAAAAAAGTTAACCTTGAAAATGTAATTTGACACCAAATGAAATTTGAGCAAAAAAACCGAGTTGACCTTGAAAATGAAACATGACACCCCAAAAAAAGTGACCTTGAAAAGGAAATATGACACTGTATCTAGCAAATGCAATATGAGACAAAAAAATGTGTTCTTGAAAATGAAATAAGACCCCAAAGAAAAGTGTGACCTTGAAAATGTAAATATGACCCTTGGGAATGAAATATGAGCCCGAAAAAAAGTTGACCTTGAAAATGTAATTTGACACCCCAAAAAAAAAAGGATGACCTTGAAAATGAAATATGACACTTGACCTTGAAAATGAAATGAGACAAAAACCCAGGTGACCTTGAAAATGTAATATGACACCCCAAAAAATGAAATATGACACTTGACCTTGAAAACGAAATTTGAGATACCCCAAAAATTGACCTTGGTAGTGAAATATGACACCCCAAAAAAAAAGTGGTCTCGAAAATGAAATATGACACTCAAAATCTAATTTTCCGAAAACCACCCAATTTAATTATCTAAAATATTTGACCTTCAATCGTCTAATACACCTGCTAATGTGACAAGTTCAATAACTTTGCTTATGTGAGTTGACCACATCCGCTTGTCGTCTAATATTTCGAACGTCTCAGATATTAATCAGTGTCATTCTCGGAGTTAGCAGAAATGAGAAACCGTTGACTTCACAAGTTTATTTTCCCATCAAGTCTCTGCTTATGTCAACTGGTCACATCGGCTTGTGCTAGTTCATTACCCTTATCATTTCCTCCCGCGTTGCTAACGTTCGCAAACCTATGGACATATATACGCGCAGCATTTCGTCTTAGTATTCAGTTCATACGCGAGTTAGAAATGGAAGCGAAAAAAGTCAAGTTGGGTACTCAAAAGAATGCCGCTGCTGCTGCTCCACCCGTAAGTATCCTGCAGGATATTCTCCTGCAGTCCTCTCAACAACTGAGGACTGCAACAAATGGCGGAGAGTCCTCGACACAAACCCGACCCCCAACGCCCGAAACTATAATTTCGCTGGCAGACAGCGATATAGAAGACGAGTTTGGGAGGCTTTTCGAAAAGTAAGTACATATTAAATCGTATTTTTGCTTTGTGATTACATTACTACAAACATTACTAATACGTAATGTAACTTTTAATAGCATTACGCCACCAAGTGTAGCAGCCGCCGTGGTGCCGCCTCAGCTCCCGCCACCTCAGCAGTTTGGTGGTAAGGATCTGAGCATCCTGCGTCGGGAGACGAACGATTGCCAGGTCCCTCTTCAAGACAACCATCAAGCTGCGCGGGTGCAAGAAGTGAGGCCGCACCAGCAGCAGCAGCCGGCACCACCACCACCTGCGCGACCACAGCAGCCCCATCAGGCTCAGCCGCATCAGCTGCTGCCACCACCACCACCCCCGCAGCAACATCGGCGTCAGGCCGCAAACGCAGGGGAACGCCGGCAGCAGCAGCAGCAGTCTAGGCAACAGCAGCCTCCTCAAGTTATGATGCTTCCACCTACTAATCTGAGGGAGCTTAAGGATAACACTTTGCACTGGCTGCAGGAGCTGCATGTCAGCTACCAGCAAAGCGAGACCATGCTCTCAAATAGGGCGGCCCAATTACAGGCCGACCTATTTGAGACCAATAACAATTTGGAAACAGTGCGCGCGAACTTGTCTAACACAGAACAATTTATCAGGTGCTTGGACCAGTTAAATTTATAAGTGTAGGTGTAAGTTAATTTTTTTTGTAATTTTAGTTTATATTTTTAAGTGTTTGTAGTTTTAGGGTTTGTATTTTAGATATTTTATTATTTTTAAGTTGTATATTGATTTTGTAGTATAGTATAATTGTATGTAGTTTTTTCATTATTGATAGCTAAAATAAACAATTAATTGTTACTGTTTTTATTATTCATAGTAAAGTGTGCATATCTCCACACATACCTACACACACTTACAAAACTTTCATTTCAGAGAGAGCAAAGACGAATTCAAGGTGGTGTATTTAAAAACGTGATCTGCGTGTTCTGTATTAATTCAAAGTGCCACTTCAATTGGAATACATTGATTACTATGGAAAGTGATAAACAAATTGAACGGTATGAAGACAGTCGCGCTCAGTTTATTCAACGACACTTAACTTGGCAGGACCTCGTAAATTGCTATGCTAAATCATGTGTTTCCATGATAACTATTCGCTCATGCAGGTACAGGCGTACACACAAAAAATAAAAGCGAAAAAACTTAAAAGATCATTTATTGGCATATATTTCAGCCATCATGCGAATTAAAAGTCTATAGAATCTAAGACAATAGACCGTAATTTAAATTGCGTTTGAAGGTATTAAAATAAAAATCGCAACTCCATTTTTTTTGTATTGAACTTGTCTTCATGGTAACTACCTGCTCAGTAGGTGAACACAATAATAAAAGTGGGAATTTATAAGAGATCATTTATTACGATATATATGTATATATATTTCAACCATTCAATATAGCGAACAAATTTCAAATTAATTTTCTTGAAATAAAAAAATGAACATTGTTATTATTACTATTAGTTCCCCAGCACCATACGCACTTTATTTCATCGCTAGTTTTCCCATTCTTTCTTGAATTTCACTATCTATCGGCAAATTCACGTTGATTTGCGTCACTTCATCGTTAATCATCAGTTTAGCCAATTTTCGATTGGTAACAAATACTTCCAAGTCTAACTTTAACACTTTAATACGTTGAACTAACGTTTCCAGTCTCCTCTTCCTATCTTCTCGAGATAAAAAACTGTCTAATCTCTTCTTCATATCTTCTCGAGATGAAATCCGTCCAATCATTCCACCTCGAGATATGCGTCGTACGTGTACGTGGCTCATGTTTAGACGTTTAGTAGTGATGATGAAACTTTACTTAATGAATTCAAAGCTTCACAAAGGAACATTTTATAATAAATGAGGATCCTTGAATCTTAAACCTCAGCATGGTAATCAATTGGAGGGGGACAGGTGAGAGACTCTTGGAAAGGAAATATGAAACCAAAAAATTAACCTTGAAAATGAAATACTACACCAACAAAAAATTGACCTTGAAATGAAATACTACACCACAAAAAGTGATTTAGAAAATGAATCATGACACTTGCCCTTGGAAATGAAATATGACACAAAAAAGTTAACCTTGAATATGAAATATGACACCCCAAAAAAAGAGAACAGGATTTACATCTTGGGGGGGGGGGCAGTGGCCATTATCCTTGATCTACTTTCCAAGGTCACCGCCACGTGGCAGGCGACCTTTGAACCTCACCTTGACCTACTTTCCAAGGTCACCACCAGGTGGCTGGTCCAGAACCGGCCCTACTCTACTACTCTACTCACAATTCTTGAAGAAATTGACGAAGAGGTGATGATCGCCGAATCTTACACGAAACGTAATTCTGAACATCAAATGTTTAGAAAGAGAACTGAATACACATTATTGGTTAAAAAATACCTGAATGGGGATGAGCGAATGTTTCGGTAGTATTTTAGAGTTTCAAGGAGTATATACAATTATATTCTATTTCACATAAAAAACGATATTGAGAAGCAACCATGTAACCGTGTTCCCAAACCAATAACACCTGAAGAGAAACTTTGCCTAACTCTGAGGTAAGAATACAACAATTTGTTTTATATTATATATTATTACATTATATATTGAAAAAATAAGGGACCTTTTCAAATATTGGTTTATAGTTCCGTATATTCCAATTCTTCGCTTACGGGGCTGAGTAATTGAGCAGAGGAACAAGACAAGGTGGAATATCAGATAGACAGAAATCACGTCTGACATTATGTTGATTAATAGCTCTGAGCTCGAGATCTGTGATTACCTTATTAACAGCTAATTTTGCTTCAACGATTAATGTTGGTGGTAAGGTCTTCACCGTGGCTGCTATACTTTGAAAAAATATATCAATGGGATGCGTATTGGTATCTGGTTGGTGTAACAGTTTTTCCATAATTTTTTCCCTTTGAAGTCTGCTTTTCTTTATTTCTTCTGCTAAACCATCAGAGCGCGGTTTTCGCTTCATAGTCATGATTTTATTCTCCGAAAAACGAGACGCCTCTTCAATCTGTACTGATACAGTAGTATCGGTCGATGTTTCAGCTTGGGGTACTTCCTCGGAATTAACTTCTTCGGTGGGTTCTATTAATGGTTCATCATCCTCTATGCTGCTTTTTGTTCTATAATATCTTTATTAAGAATTTGCTTACCTAATGCCAAAGGACTTACGGCCTATGAGCTTCTACGCAATTCAGAAAACTCAGCTTCTCTGTTACATATTTAGACTTTGACGTTGCCGCCGATCCTGATCCAGCTTTCTTGTTGTTTTTTCGAAATGAATCCCTGACGGTTTTCCATCTTGTCTTGCAATCGGTTACTGTAATGCAAAATAATTAAATGATATAATTTCAGATACTTGGCAACAGGAGAAAGTTTTCGATCATTGGCATTCACTTATCGAATTTCAAACAGTTGGATATCTACTATAGTAAGAGAAGTGTTAAAAGCAATATGTGATAACTTACTACACATTACTATACCAAAGCCAAACGCAGAGATACTGGAAAAATCTGCGCAAAGTTATAGGGCAAAATGGAACTATCCAAACTGTTGTGCTTCCATTGATGGTAAGCATATACGAATGGTTTGCCCTAATAATACCGGCTCTCTGCAAGTATTATTGGCCCTTGTAGATGCAAACTACAAATTTTTGGCAATAGATGTAGGTGGATATGGGAAAGAAGGTGACGCGGAACTATTTTCAAAATCAGAGATGGAAAAGTGTATAACAGAAAACTTATTCCCATTCCCTTCCGCAAAGGAAATAACCGAAAATGGAGTTCCAATGCCATTTGTTATTTTAGGGGATGAAGCATTTAAATTAACTGCCCACATGATGAGACCTTATCGTAAGGAGCAATCTAATGCTGATCAGAAAAAAGCGATATACAATTACCGTCACAGCAGAGCTCGTAGAACAAGTGAAAATGCATTTGGTATTATGTGCCTATATTTCCGCGTTTTTTATACACCAATTGCCATCGCACCAGAAGTAGCGGATTATTTGGTAACTGGGGCATGCATCCTTCACAACTTACTTCGCGAAGAACGCATTCCGTACCCAGGAGAAGATAAACATTTAGATGATCTAGTAGTACTATCTAGGGAAAATATGATTCAGATGGCAAGATTTGGCGCAAATGCTACCTTCGAAGCTTTTGAGGTTAGAAATAACTTTAAGAATTATTTCTGTAGTAGAGAAGGGCAATTGGTTTGACAATTGAATCATATTACAAGAACTAATTAAAAATACATGTTTGATAGTTACTTACCACTTTTATTCAAAACCTCTGCAATTTTTTTCCATGCATTTTCCTTGATAGTATTATTAAAATAATTTTTATCCTTTATACAGCACTGGATATTTTCTCACTAAACCTATCAATAGTTCAGTTTCTTCATCACTAAAAGATTTGCTGCACATTTCAAAATGTCACTGTCACTGAAAAAATTAACCAAAACAACCATCGAAGTCGACTGGCTACTGACCGTTGCGCGACCACGCCGGCGTTACTTTTGTTTCCGCGCGGGATTTCTGCTGCTGGCGGATCTACGAAAGCACCTGTTAAAGAAACCCATTTAAGCAACTACGACGGGACGGAATTGGTCACGCGCGCTTTCTATTCCGCTACCTTGGAAAGCGTACCTTTAGAGTCTTTTGGTATCCCCAGAAGCACCTTGCAAAAACGAATTAAAACGGAAAACACTGAACCTGCCTCGATGGGAAGGCACTCAGTATTTAAGAGTGCACATGGGAACGCTCTAGCGGAGCTGACCATTCATTTGAACAAGCTATTTTATGGAATTTAAAGAAATGAAATTAAAAACTGTGCCTACAATTTTGCAATTACAAACAATATAAGGTGCTCGTTTAACCAGATTTATGGCTCAGTGGTAGAGCATTGGGTTATAAATCCGGAGGTTGGGTGTTCGAACCTGGGTTGAGGTGAATTTTTCATCTGTGGCGGAGATGGAAATTACCTTAGACCAGCGCCGAGCATTCTACCGGCTACTCCGAATTAGGTTTTCCTGCAGTTTTCCTAATTCGTAAGGTAAATTACCGGAGTAGTATAGACCAACTTAAGACCTTCTGCAGGGGCACCTCTAAATAGCATTATGCGGGTCACTCTGTAATTGGGCGCATGCCTGTTGAGGGTCCAAAACAAAAGAGGGATAATAATAAATAAATAATGGCTTCAAGGATTTCTGAAGCGAAATCCGCAAGTTGCGTTGCGTAAACCAGAAGCTACGAGTATTAACAGGATAACTGCCTTTAATAAAAAAGAAGTTGATTTATTTTTTAAAAATTTAGATCAATTAATGACGAAACACAAGTTTAAAGAATTCCGAATTTTTAATACTGACAAGACGGGGGGTCTCTACTGTACAAAGACCACAAAGAATATTAGCCCAGAAAGGGCTAAAACAAGTGGGATTTGCAACTAGCTGGGAGAGAGGGAGAAATATTACATTAATTTGTGCCTTCAGCGCAGGTGGAGTTTATGTACCGCCAATGTTTATATTTGCCAGGGAAAGAATGTCTCCACTGCTTGAAAAGGGAGGCCCTCCAGGTTCATTTTATTCTTTTAGTAAAAAAGGGTAGATTACAGAAGAATTATTCCTACAATACCTAAAGCATTTTCAAATATTTTTAATTTTTAAGGGGTTCAAAAAT